CAACTTAACCAAACCTGTTTATGATAAGTTATAGAATAGAATGGTAGAATATTCAATCACCTCGAACAGCAGGGTGTTAACAAAAATTATAAAAAGATTATCGCGAGAAATGATATAGATAAACATGTAGGCATCTATGCGGACGACATTACTATTTACTCCTGCCTCAAAAACAACTCTAGTGTCTTGAAAAGTACCTCCAATCGGTTGTGGACTGGGACAGGAATTGGCTGGTTAACTTTAATGCCTCAAAAACAAAACTGTTCTCTATTAATCACCAGAAAGAACGATCCCTTTCTCCCATTAAAATGTTTGACGCTCAACTTTACGAGAGCACCTCTTTGCGACTGCTCAGTCTCATATTGTACGCTGACCTGAGATGGAACGAATACATTGAGACAATAGCTTCGCCCACCGCTAGGAAAGTTGGCTCCCTATGCCGTGCCAGGAAATTTTTCTCGCCGGAGACGATCCTTCACGTGAACAAATCAACCATTCGCCCCTGCATGGAGTATTGCTGCCATATATGGTCTGGATCCCTTCCAGTTGTCTCAAGGTTCTTGATAAAATCCAAAGACGGATATGCAATGTAATTGGCCCTGATCTGGCACCTCGTCTGCAGCCGCTCTCTCACAGACGTGCCGTCGCCTCCCTCATTTTTAGAAATACTTTCACGGTAACTGCTCCCAGCCTTCATGAATTTAAGCGCTCAACTAGGCTGTCATCTCGCTCTCACCCTTTCACTGTCGAAACTGTTAAATGTCGCCGTTTCTTCTACTTCAATAGCTTCATATCTTGCACTTCTCGCCTGTGGAACTCTCTCCCCATTTCTTGTTTTCCTGATGACTATAATCTCCAACTATTCAAATGTAATGTCAATCGGCGTCTCTAGATGCCCTGATCTATCCCCTAACCGTCTCTTCATCCTTTCCTCTATCACCCCTCTTTGTTCTTGATCCTACTCTGAAACCCTTTGCTTGCTAGTGGCTTCCCGCCTTGCTTGGGGTTGGATGCTTAAAAAATAAATAAATAAATATTGTAAAATGAATGAGGCAAGAGGATCCGATTTCATATCAAAAATTTCTACTAAGCCCTTAAATTGTCTTCAAGAAAATGAAATAAAAAGGAAAGGAAATGTCCATGCTTCGACTGCTGGCTGACGACATTTCACAAATAACAGAAGCATGAGATAAATGACAAGAAGTAGCCTTAATGGAGAAATGTTACAATTTTGGTTTAAAAATGAAGAGAAAGTAAACAATAATAATCATCCATTGTTACGTGTGTCAAACCCATCAGAAGATTAAAATTTCGACAAAATCCAAGAATAGATTTATTTGGAAAGAAATTAAACCATCGTATAGCTGTTTGGAAAGCAATTAATAAAAACAGAAGTAGAAAAAATGTCATGTTGAAAGCTTAACGCGTATCATGAACACATAATGGCAGCTACAGCGACCGCGGGAAAAATGTTGGGAATTCAGAAAATTGATTGGAATATAAAAATTAAATAATATACAAATATCCTTTGAAAGGCATAAAGACATGGATCGAAAGAAGGTGATATTAAATTAAAAGGAACACCAAGAAAACGAGGTATCATAAAAGTTATACCTCCTGGGTATGACGATAAACTACCCCCGGCAGCAAGGCCTTTGATCAGGTTTTTGAGGAGCGTGAAACCACCTCATAATTGCTGGTGTACCGTGACCCAAGGTGGTAGCACCGGTCAGGGTTCCAGGTATGCGGAAACTCCCTACTCCCCAAAACGGTCAAAACACTATGAAAGTATAAAAATAGGATTTAATACCAGCAATACTTTTTTGGAAAAATTATTACCAGCAAAACATTTTTGAAAAAGATAAATATTTCCAGCAATACATTTTTTTAAAAAATTATTACCAGCAATACATTTTTGAAAACGGATTACTTGATCTGTGTCCTGTAAGTAATTAACGTAGGAGTCAAAGCGAGAATGGAGTCGAAGATGGATTTGATGATGGGACATGTTAGAAAAACACAATCATCCTAAAAGTATTTGAAAAAGGCCTTTTTTCAGCAAAGGACTCGAAATTGATGATAATGTTGATTTCTCTTCAGCAGCTACTGCTGATGATATAGAGAGAGATTCAAGAATAAATATAAATTGATAGTTAAGTATTTTATCGACTGAAACTTTGACAGATGAACTGGATGATTTCCAGAAAGGTTTGCGTTTTGTTTTGTTTTTTTTTTGTTTTTTCTGTTTTTTTTTTTTTGTTTTTTTTTGTGTGTGTGTGTGTGTGTGTTCTTTTTTTACTTTGTATGATAAAGTCGATGTTTGAGTAAATTTGATAATTAAATTTTTCGTACGCGTATCGCAAATCCAATTCGTAATTTCAATTTGATTTTCTCTTTAAAAAAACGACCTGCATTTGAGATTTATGTGAATTCGCTACTCTGAAAATTCTTTCTTTACTTGGATATCATGGAATCCATTTTCCTATACATCAAATGAATCAGAAGATTCCGAACAACGTTTTTTTTTTTTTTTCATCTGCTTAGTTTCACTTAACTATTTCAGTGCATTCTATCTTCAGTTGGTTCATTTCAATGTTCGAATATCAGTACTCTCGTACTTTGTCCAAACTGTCTTACTATTAAGGGAACAGGATATCTATCGTTATGCTAAGATGATAGAGGTAATATAGCAGAAGGAATTTAAGAAAATAGTTTTTGAATATCACAACTTCACACGTCAGTTTTTTAAATTCTCGCGACTTCATGCGTCATTTCGTCTTGTGTCACTTTTTTTCGCATGAGAAATGAGGAAACAGGCGTAGCACGATAAAGAAAAAAACACAACTTGCTTTCATAATTTAACCCTGGTATTTTACATTCGAAATGTCTGTCAAAACCAAGAAAATTGTCTGAATATAGAAAAAAAAACAAAAATAACTTCCTTTTGTCTTTAAAAACATTCGCTGTCCTATATATATATATATATATATATATATATATATATATATATATATATATATATATATCTGTTATAAGAACAACAGGACTAGAAAATACCTTAACGAAGGTCTTAATAAACAAAGTGGCCTGCGACGGGGCTATCGCTAAATAAGAAAAGACCAAGCCAAAGTAGACTAGAAATATATACTGAACTGTGTACTAAGGAAGGTAATAATTACATGAAGAGTTCTAATTAAGATGGATAATCTATATGGCATTTCTCCGCCTTCCCTTTTTATTATTCCGGATATCGAGACAATTTCTGACTACTCCTTGAAGATCGACATAGTGTCAGTCCATATTCAGGAACCAGAGTAGAAAGTTGATTCACGTAGTCAATAAGGACAAGGGTATGAATTTTAGGGTTATCCAATGGTTTTGGATTGCTATCAGACTTACATTCATTTATTTCTGCACGGATATTTTTAACGCAAGTCTTTTTCCCTCCGATATTTTTAAATTCGTTCATTTTGCATATGTTCCCAGTTAGTGTCAAATTATGCACAGATACTGACAACTCACGTCCGTTGTCGAACATTACATAGGCATATTGTGGATTAGCTTTCAAAAACTGAACTTTGTCGACTAAAGGTCCATACCAACAAGTACGGACCTTTAGCTGACCATTACGGCGTAAAAGAACCGCACCAGGGTTTGGTAGCCAAATAGGAAAGGAGTGACCACTGGGTGACCGGCGTTGATATGAAAAGATTCTTTCATGGGGTGTAGTATTGGTGGTGGTACAGAGTCAAGATTTTATGTCATGCAGTGTTCCAGGAAGAACAGCTTCCCATTGAGATTCTCGCAAATTTCTCGAAGTCAAAGCCAATGTAACATGCTTCCAGATAATTCCACCGTATCGTTCACACTGACCATTCCTTGTGGGTTGTAAGTTCGACTTATAGCTATATCCAAATTAGTGAGATACCTACGCAGTTATTTAAATAAAACCGAGTAACCCTGATCGAAGGCGTACTGAAGACAATGATTCAGACATTTACTTATTATCATTTTAGATGAAGTAAAAGGATAACCAAAGTACTCATATGTTACCATAAGAATATAAAGATTCTTTGAATTAGAAGAAAGAGCTACTTTAAAATCTAGACAGAGTCGCTCCAATGGTTCTGCGGCCATAACAAGAAGAACATTTAATGGAGTGTAGAAGCGTAGTTTCCATCTTGTACAAACAGGGTAGTGTGTGCATACAATTTTACATCCTTATAAAGTGTCTTGGGTATGACGATTAACTACATCCGGCAGCAACGCCTCTGATCAGGAGATAAGAGGTTTTGATGAGCATGGACAAACAATTGTTGTTGTTCCCAGATCCAACCTGACTCTGGGTGGTAGCACCCGTTAGGGTGCCAGCTATGGGCAAATAGTGATCCCCTAATCTAAAATCAAATTACTAGGAAAGTATAAATATTACATTTAAAGTAAAAAATAACAGCAATACATTTTCATTAAAAAAATTACCAACAATACAATTTTAAAGTCAAATGACAATGCATTTGATAGTAAAATTGACAGCATGGCGTACATTATCAAAATGATTAATTTCATTTCTTGTAAGGAGAAACAAGTTTTCACTCCTTGTTTGATTTGTAAGATTATTTAGAAAATATGTCGCTAAGTCATTATAATTTAATCATGAAATAATATCATTCTTTTGAATTAATTATAAAGTTTGAGTTTTCATATTTAAATTTCAGCAAGGAATACCTCATAGCGGTTTCGATATGCCGCTAAACAAATCCAACCAAAACAAACAATTCTCTAGGGTATAGAAGATTCATGACTTTGACAAATTAGACTAACCTGGTTATGCCAGAATGCCAAATATAGCTCGGACAGCTTTTCTTTGTGGAACATAGCGCCACAAAGAGTAAGTGAGCGTGCATCAGCAGGTACATTATTCTTCCCCGATCTATACAAAATTTCGTAATCGTATCTTCCAAGTTCCATTCTCCATCTTTAAATTTTATCGTGTCTAACTTTCACTGCCTGCTGATCCGTGATGATGGTAAAACGTCGAGCAGGTAAGTAGTGGGCCACCTTTTTACAGCTTCTACAATGGCTGTAGCTTTCTTTTCTACTGAAGCGTACTTTCGTTCAGACGGATTAATGTTCGTGAGAAGATGGCCACTAGACGGCCGGGCTTTACCAGAAGTGCCAGTCTCGACTACTTGGGGGATATTTTCTTCAATAATGCGAAGAAAAGCACTTCCGATTTCTTCCTTAAGATTCTTGAAGGCTTTCACAGATTGGGGATTTAAAAGAAACGAGTCAGCCATGATTAAGAGTTTGATCTTGTGTATCCATTGAGAGTAATAGGAAAACGAAGAGTTCGACGTAGATTCAGCTTCATCATAAGGGATAGGCAGTTCATTAAGTGGGCGTAATCGATCCGCATTAGTTTGGAGTACCTCATAAGATATGGTGACACCTTTAAGATAAAATGAAATCAGCTGTAAATATCGATTAACAGAAGGTTAATAAAAGAGGCTGATATGGAGGACTTTTATTTCATTGAAAGTAAGATTATGTAGCTTAGCTAACTCAAGAAATATTCATAAGGTTTAGTCTTTCCTGTTACAACAATGTTATCTGCATAAGCAGAAGTTCCACGCAAATTATTCCTCATAATAATGCTGTGCATTGTTTGCTGGAAGCAAGCAACACCATTTTTTGACTCCGAATGGAATTCGACAAAATAGGTATAATTTGCTGTCGTTTTCAAATACACTGTACGATTTTTCTTCTTCTCCAATGGCTACCTGGTTATAAGCCCTCAACAAATAGAAAGTAGAGTAAATTTTATATTTGATGCTTTCCCAAGCCAGGTCATCCATTTTTGAGAGGGGCTAAACCTTTATTTGAATGAATCGATTAATAGTTCTATAATCCACAACTAATCTCTTTCTATCCCTTTCTTTAGCTATGATTAAAACTTGAGCTAGCTAGGTGGGTGTGTTATCTCCAACCAGCCTATCTCTAAGCATTTTCTTAACCTCTTTATTAAGAGACTATAATCCCTTCCACGTGGTTGTAATAGATTTGCAGTCAAGATCAAGGTTTGAGAATAAAAAGCTATATCTGCCAAGGCAGAGGCTAGATTTCAAGCAGTTCGAGATCTTACTTAGGGTTTGCCAAATGCAGACTATATACTAGAATGTTGTTTCATGAAGTCTTGACCGAGAAAACTGTCACAACAAAGATTGGGGCAAGCAGAAAGTTGGACACCTAGATACCATGCATGCATCTTATAGATTCATGTTGATGGTAGACTGTCCTTTTATTGAAGTGTTAAGCGACAGTGAATCTATGGACACATTCCTTGCGGCAGGTTTTGATTTTTTCTGGTGTCATTTGGTATTATCAAGCGAAATAAAAGACCCAGAGTTATTTGGGTTCATTAGGGCTGTAGCCTCGTGTTTGCCAATCAAATCGTACACCGGACCGTATTTCAACAATACTGCTGGCGTTGTTTCCAGTGTAAAGATTGGGTAAAATTTGTCGGGGAAGCGATGACCGACATACTTTGGAAAAATTGCTTTTTTTTTGGCATTTGTGACAGTAGTCTTTATTATATTTGGTTTATATATTTACAAGTGTTTTCTTTTCAGCATGTTTTATAAGATAGTATAATAAGTAATAAGTCATGTAATAAAAATAAAGAAAAAACTATTGAAAATGATTAGTAGCTTAAAATAAAAGCGCTCGGAATTAGCAAATTTTTGACAATTTTTATACTAATTAAGTTCAGGAAAAAAACATTTGTATGCATAACAGAAAACATAATAATGAAAACAAATGTACCTCACCAATCTTGATTAATCTTGATTATATATATATATATATATATATATATATATATATATATATATATATATATATATATAGAGAGAGAGAGAGAGAGAGAGGGAGAGAGAGAGGGAGAGAGAGAGGGGGAGAGAGAGACATAATGTAGAAAACAATGCCATTTATAATTTCAAAAACCCTTAATATATGACAGATATATTGAAGACATTTTCATATTAAAGGAAAATGAAGATGAATAAAAAAGACCCTAAAACCATTTGAAAATACTTCCTTTTTACAATTTATGAACTCAACATTGAAAACAAAAACTCTTAAATCTTAAATGTTCTATGAAACTCTACTAATGATGATATCACTTCAGTATAAAAAAAAACATTAGCAAAGATATACGTCTCCTTAATTATAAATGCGAATTTACACACAGATATGATATAAATGTTATAAAAAAAACATCGCGCGAAAATGATCTCATCTCTGGGCAAATTGATTTAAGAGAAAATTAAGCATCATAAAAGAAATAATTATCAACAATAATTTTCACAAACCATGATGTTGAGGAAGAAATAAATGTAGCTTTAAAGAAATTTTAAAAAAATAATATAAGCTACAGATTGACGGCGTAGCGATGGTCTCGCTTCTAAGTCACACTTAATCTAATTTCTACATGAATAAAGTAGGGATAAGGGTTTTTAATAATAAACCATCAATATAACAAACTCTCAATATATGTCAGATATACTGATGACATATTCTCACGCACACACACACATACATATATATATATATGTGTGTGTGTGTGTGTGTGTGAATTACATTTAATGAGATTAATTAAAGATGTAGTATTGTATGGATTACTATTAACATATTTTATAAAAGTATTAATTATAAATTCTTACTTCTATTCTATAATAATTTATGTTCCTCTCTAAAATGTTTCATGGGCTTTTTTTGGCACAGGCGTTGATAGGTTACATTTACGTCAGTGTCCATTTTCAACCGTCGCGTTTATCTACACCCGACTCGACCACAACAAACTTAGGTCCATTAACCCTCTTTATCCATATAACTCTCTCGTCTATTAGAGGCCAATTCTTACTCCCTTTTCTTTTATTTTTTTCCTTCTTTTCTTCCTTTGCGTTTCAAATGCCTTGTGAAGAAACGTTTTAATCATTTTAGTAAATGTATTTGCATTGATAAGTCCAGGGAAAAATTACTTTCCCATGGATGAAATGATCATCTGTATGAGGTAAATTGTTTGGATTTCATTAATTGTAATTCACTTATATGGTCTATAATAAAAGTTATATTGAGCACTCTTTTGTGGATCAGTTTCAATATGTTATATTAACAGGATCTACTTGGATTACTTACCCACGGAATTTTTTACTGTTCTCTCTCTCTCTCTCTCTCTCTCTCTCTCTCTCTCTCTCTCTCTATATATATATATATATATATATATATATATATATCCAGGAAATAAGAGAATGAATACAATTCTAACGTTCGTTACTTTTAGTTTAAAAGAGGGATCAATACAAATGAAAGCAATATTATTTATCTTAGTATATTACATTAAAAATGACAAATAACGTTACATATTTGCAGTCGTGTTTCGATGTGTATCAATTCGTCTCATTAGGCTATTTTAAATTACTGGCGAATGAAAAATTTATTTGGATTTCATCGCCAGTAATTTATAATCGCCTGATGAGATGCATTGATACGCATCGAAACATGACTGCATATATAACAACGATTTTGACATATTTTATATATATATATATATATATATATATATATATATATATATATATATATATATATATATATATTTGTGTGTGTGCGTGTGTTGTGTTTGTATTTATATATGCATGTCCAAATCTTGTTACGTCATAATTGTCCATGCCATAAAATGCATAATATCTAAAAAAAAAAAAAAAAAAAAACGAAAACACTATATTAATTGAGATTTTTTTTCCAGGTTTTAACATAAGATGTTTAGCCATTTTGATAACATTTGTTGTAAGAAATGCTGAAAAACACTGAGCTATTCAGCTAAACATAGAACAGGTTAAAATCACTTTATGTAAGCCCCACTCTCTTCTCAACTGATAAATTATGAGAGGAAAAATCATGCAAGCCTTCAGCAATGGTAGCAATATTCATACTCTGGCTTTCATCTTCAAAGCCCATTCAAGGACCATGAAGAGCAGGGTAAATAAATTTTAAAAAGAGGGAAAAGTAGGGAGGAAAACTAGATCAGGTGGTCACAAAAGGAAGAGGGATCATCATTTCAACTTAGCACTAAAGAGATCAATTATATAAGATACAACTCAATCTGTAAGACGTTTGGCATGTGAGCGATCAGTTACAGCTATGACAGTCTAAAGAGCAGTGAAAAAAGACTTGAAAACTTGCTACTCCAAGACACAAAGTTAGAGGGTTAGAGAAGGATCATCTTGAATAAGTTGGAAAATGATCCTGTAATTATATATATATATATATATATATATATATATATATATATATATATATATATATATATATATGGACTTTATTTCAATCCTTCATGTGCTTCCGATCCTTGGCTATGATTAATTAATGATGAACATGTCATTTTCGATTATAGTCTATCTCATCACGATTCTTCTGTTAAGCTTAGAGAGTAATCATACATCTTTATTGCTCAAAGTAGAGTCTAATAGTGTTATAAAAACTTCGGAGAATTCCAGTAAGATATCTTTAATCATTTCTAAGGTACAACGGTTCAGAGCTTTATCTAACAATTGAACAATTTTACTGTTACACGATTTGTACTATTTTGCTGTTACATCCGGTATTTGTTTAATACTTCTCCTTGAATTAACATTTTGCTACATGTTTGTATTCAGTAATCATTTCTGTTGCATCCTAACTGATTTCTGTTGCATTCTAAATGGTTTCGTACGATTAGCAATTTCAACTCCTACTAAGGGTTACAGCGTCTCGTATTTAGAAACAGTACCTGTTTGCCTTTGTCGGAGACGTTCATATGCCAAGCAGATAGAACATGCAATCCGAAATGCAATCAGTTTGTCGTTGTAGGCACTACTATCTTTTACACATACTCCGCATTACAAAAATTAAATATTTTGTGGGTTACTTCACCAGACTTTATAGACTGGAACAACAAAACCATAACGATCTTAACCAAATAATAAAGCAAATTATTTGAAGACTTCGAACAACAGCAACAACAAAAAGGGGTAGCAGATGTAAGTAGAAGAAAAAATTATTATACGATTGTAAAGAAAAACAGACATACGTTAAAGCTTATTATATTTATTTGGACATTTAAACTGCAAAACCTCGGAGATTTTCAGTAAGTTATCTTTAATCATTTCAAACATACAACGGTTCAAAGCTAACAATTGGACAATTTTGCTGTTACACACGGTATTATATATATATATATATATATATATATATATATATATATATATATATATATATGTGTGTGTGTGTGTGTGTGTGTGTGTGTGTGTGTGTGTGTGTATGTCTGTATGTGTGTTTGTGTGTACAGGCTCGCTAAATGTAATTTGACACCTATATTTTTAAACAATAAGAATTATCCAGCTAACAAAGTTATTTAATTTATGCAGTGTTATATTTAGTCTACTTACCATAAACAGTTATGTCTATTCTTTCAGTCTTAAGACACACAATACACGATATATCGCATAACTTCTCTTTCTTTTTTTATTCACATTTGACATTCGATGCTTTCTGATACTGACCCAGTCCACCTTAAAACTGCAAAACAATCCGCCTCGTTCTGAAATATGACAGTTTTCGTTCTTCTGTCGTGACTCTGTGGTTATTTCTTTTGTATTTTTATAGTCAATTGACTAATAGCCAAAGCGTATATCTGTATCAAATGTCAGATCAGAATAAAATAATAATGTATATTTATTGATGTCATGTTTTTGTATATACCAGCTTTTGCTATTGAAAAGTCAAGCCACATCGTTAGAAAACGATTATGTGTTTTTTCCGAAATTCATTCCCTCAATGTGACGCCATTAAGATAAAATGAAATCAGTTGTAAATAGAGATTAAACTGTAAATGATTGTCGTTAATAAAGTTGATTAGAATCGGCGGGAAACAATTTATATTTTTCAGTTGGATTTTAATTCCGTTATAACAATTATTTCTCCTTCCGCGAAAAAAAAACTATATATGAGTAATTTGTAAAGGGAGTGAGATGTGAAGATACGTATATTTTCTTACATATAAATCGACACACACACACACACACACACACACACACACACACACACACACACACATATATATATATATATATATATATATATAAAAGTGAACATAAAAGTCAACACTTAGAGGCGACAGTCTGTTTCATGCTATATGCAATCGTCATATATATATATATATATATATATATATATATATATATATATATATATATATACATATATATATATATATATATATATATATATATACATATATATATATATATATATATATTTATATATATATATATATATATAAATATGAAGAATATATATATATATATATATATATATATATATATATATATATATATATATATATATATGAAGAAATATAGTCTTAAGTGTGCTATATTTATGGGATAAAGTGCTCAATATCAGAGATAGAGTGTGTGTAAATATAAAAGTGAACATAGATGTCAACACTTAAAGGCGAGAGTCTGTTTCATGCTAGACCCAATCGTCAGGCGTTTTCTCGATTATTTATATATACGGATCAGTGGTGCATTGTGGGTAGTCTATTTTAGCAGTTATTTTACCGGAAGTCGTTTATTTGTTTTTTTATTTATTTGGGCTAAATTATTTTGCTTGTTTTTATTTATTTTTATGTTTAAATAAACAAATAAACGACATCCGATAAAATAACCGCCAAAATAGACTACCCACAATGCACTATTGACCCGTATATATAAATAGCCGAGAAAAATAAGAGCCCTCGTGGCCTGACGATTTAAAAAAATAATAAATTTAAAAGTTTTAAATATCAGCATCTTCTCCTGTTTGTGAGTATGCGTTGTTACATTAGCATAAACATCACTTTAGTTCGATAGATTCCTAAAGGTGGATAGGGCGTAAGGCGAAACGTTTTTCCACTTTGTCATTAATTTCTTACCGTTTTTTATATAAAAAAAAAACTATATATAATTTTATTCCATATACAAATGTATGGGTGTGCCTTCGAAACACGACACGCAATTTGACTGATGCACATACATTCAGATTTTCTAATTCATTTTTTTTTCATGTTGTGCGGCTTTCCACGATATTCTTTGTTCTAATAATCAAAACTCGCATTTAAATTTAGGAAACCACTTGTAATATGTACTTACGCTTAATTCATCATTGCCATAAATTACAGCGGTATCTTGCTAAAATTCTACCCATGATGAGTAAACTGCGCCAAGTAATTACTTCATATTCAGTCAATAATTTTCTACAAAATAAAATGATTACATTTACAAAAACAATTCGTACATACACTACAAAGTGAAGGCGGAAAATTTTCGAAAATATTAAGATTTGCAAATTCTGGAAAATTTGCATCAACCTAACATAATCGTCTTCGTCATCTTTATCTCGTATCCAAGAAATTAATTTCTTTGCTGATCGTTTCTTTTATGATCCTTTGTGTTGATAACTAAATTCACCGCCATTATACAGGTTCAGGATTAGAAGCTTTCAGTTTCACCAAAACCTGCCCCCATCATTCATTCCCTATCGCCGTTTGGCTTTGCAAGAGTTGGTTGTCAGATTGTTGAAGAAAGATGTGTGTGATAATGTAACGCCAGTCTATAAGGGCCTGATGAATAGTTATCTTCTTTAAACCTAAAAAGCATTCATTTGCTTGAAACTATTTTTATTCAAGGGAAAAACCCGGATATATACAAATAATGGTTTAATTATGTTGAATGCCCTGCATATCATCGATGTCAGTGTTTAAAATTGACGAAGAAATTTAGGTGGTATTTGACAAAAAAGGAAAAATGACATGACCTTTTTTCACACTTGATCACATCTTTCGAATATCAAGCTATCACAACAGACTTCTATTTACGATATGCGTTTTTTTTATAATTCATAGACTTAATATTTATATTTGGCTGATTCTCTGCCTTGATTTCGTGATTCTAAACAAACAAGAAATAAGAAAATTTATTCAATGATTTCTGTTAAAATGTCTCTGTAAAATATCGTCTACGTCAAATTTTATGAAAATTATGAAAATCGGCTTCTACGCTGACGTTCTTAGTGACACAAGCATATTCGTCCACACGGCACACACACATACTTACACGTTAATACAAACATGGTAATTTTAGGTTAATTTTTTTTTATTAACAATTCTGCTATACCGAAATGATTTGTAAAAAGGTCAAAGTTGAAATGAGTTAAAACTAGTGAATGAGTTTTTCTCATTTTTTTTTCTGGGTGGAGTAAAGTGAATCAAGTTTATGCCTTTCGCTTACGGTAAATTTTGGCCTACATAGATGTCGGCTACAATTACAAATTCCTGAGAACTTTTAATCCAAGCAGAGCATCGTTATGCCTGCCTCTTTCTCTGTCTATTAATATTTTTCTTATTTTTGGTGTTGATAAAATTGCAACGTAATATGATTCTTTATAATGGAAGGCAAATGTCGTGTTTTCAAATGACACTCGTACGGAAAATACGAAAATGAAAATCTTATGTAATAAAAAATAATTAATTCAGTATAGGAAGTAAAAATAGAAATTAAACATTTTTGCATTAACTTTATTGAGGAACATAATAATCAATTGATAATCAGCAATAAGTTTTCGCCATATTGCAACTAACTTCATAATTCTATCCTTCCATATATATATATATATATATATATATATATATATATATAGATATATATCATTCGAGTTGACAGAATCATTCGAAGACTTCCATTGAACTGGATTTTCTCATTCTCTGTAATCATCTCAATTTATAGTAATTGGGATGTTTTTTTTTCATCGGTTTCATCCTATTCGACGCAGTAAAGGCACAAGGGGTTATTGGGTGTGGAACAATTATGAATAAGAACATTAATAATGAGCGGGAAGACAAATGTGTAATCAGGAGGACTTTAAATCGCGATTGACATTGCATTTAAATTTGTGCGCATTAAAGTTGGCTGGAAAGCATGGAGCTGGAAGTGAGTTTCACATGTGTGAAGTGCGAGAAAAAATCTCTTAGCATAGACTTTACGGCTACATCTAGCCAGCTCAACTGTAAATTGATTAGGTCTTGACGCCACTCTAGTACAACGCTTAAATTCAAGTAGTCAAGATACCATAGTAAAGAGCTAATCAGAACAATTAGCATGAAAGTATTTATAGAAAAGTTGCAGAGAGGCAACCTTACCGAGTGAAAGAAACTGACGCTGAGACGCCAGAACAGGGCCAATAATATTGATGATTCTTCTTTGGATTATATCAAGAATCTCTAAATATATATCAGGAACACTAGACCCTATGTGGCTCATGTTCTAAACATGGTCGAATGATAAACGTATTATGCATGATTCTGGAGAGATAAGTTTTTGCACAAAACAATGACCAATTCTCTTAGCCGCTGACCCTAGCAATGGATTCAACACAGCATTTTCATCTCATGTCAGCTGAGAACTTTAGTCCAAGAAGGAGCGACAAGTTAATTTCCTGGAGGTTAGCATCAGCCATGCTGTTGAAAGGCAGAGAGGGGTTTCCCAGATAATTAATGGAGAAATGTTTAGTTCTGGGAGCCTTAAAATTAACAAGCCATCTTTTGTCTCATTTAACAACGGACTTGAGATTGTTTTGGACATTGGCTGCCATACTGCAAATTAAATGATTTTGATTCAAAGTTTTTTATAACAAAAATGACAGCTAGAAAGTTACCGTATATATTAAACTTATTTTACTCAATTAGATATAGGTATATACGGTTTGGCTCCAGCAGATTTTACAAGTACACGATTGTAGATTATGTGTTTGAGCCAATCGTAAATCGAGATTTAAAATCCTGAAATTTATGTGAATACGCCCGCCAAGGACTTGTACAGGAACCAATGAAACTAATGCTCAAACTGTGGATCAAACTATGATTTTATCAGTTAGCCATGCAGATGAAATATTGATGAAATGATTGATTACAAGATCGAAACCAATTGATATAGTTATTAACAGGCCGATATAGATCGATTGATATATATGAACAGACTGAAGTAAATAGGTCTGAAGATATTGAGAAAAAAAAAATTGATAGACGAAAACTAAAATAGATAGGAACAATATGAAAGAGAAACTCTGTTGATAACTGAATAGATGAATAGATAGATAGATAGATAGATAGATAGATAGATAGATAGATAGATAGATAGATAGATAAAATAAATGGCGTCGTTTTTCAATTTTCGACATTAAATTATTTTGGATAGAATACGACTTTGTTTTACTATTATTTGTCATCCAACAAAGTTTTTTTCTTTTTGTTTTTTTTTTTTTTTCTTAGCAAATACTTTTTCCACGTGCATTTATTCAGAGAATTTGATTCATTTTATTATAAAAATTTCTATTAAGCCCGGATTAAATGGTAATCCACCGTTGAAATTTCTGATAAATACGTGGATTGATGAACATTTACCAACTTTTGAACAAAAAGAATGCATTAAACTGGTCAAATATTAACCCTTTCCGTCAAAGCAATTCTAGACACTTTTCCTTCATTACAGCCTTCACTTGATCTCAATTAGAACAGTACTTGTTCAAATCAATCTCTATTTATTTTCGATCGTTAATGTTAAAATCAGTAAAAAAACGTCAATTTACTACATTATTTCATGTATTTACGTTTATACGGAACCGCCATATAGCCTGACGTGCTTTACCGATTTAGCCACAGAGGAGCGTTTCGGTTAGCAAGGTTGATTTTACTATTTTTAAACTACAATTCTCCATGAGTTTCAGTAGTACATTCATATCTGCTCGATGCGTATCCGAAAGTAAACAAATCACGTCACACATTATGAAATCGAGAAAGTCTGACAATTATTTTAAGACATTTTTTTTTATGTTTATACGTTCTTTTCATAGATACAAATATTCAAGTAAATGCTCTGTATATAATAAACAGTATTAATGACATTTACCGGCCTGAATGTCCGAGCAATTTTCATAGAAAATTTGACGTCATTTGTTTACATTTCGATACGCATCGAGCAGATATGAATGTACGAGAAAAAATCATGGAGAATTGTAGTTTAAAAAAAATAAAATAGACCTTTCTAATCGAAACCCTCCTCTATGGCTAAATCAGTAAAGCACATCAGGCTATATGAAGGTTCCGTATAAGATACAGGTTCGATTCCCGTTGGAGGACGCATATTTTCTATGAAATTTTATTGGACATTCAGGCTGGTAAATGTCTTCAATATTGTTTATTATAAACAGAGCATTTACTTAAATATTTGTATCTATAAAATAACGTATAAACATTAAAAGTTGTCTTAAAATAATTGTCGGACTTTGTCCATTTCATAATGTGTGATGTCATTTGTATACGCCATGAGCAGATATGAATGTACGTGATAGATTCATGGAAGATTGAAGTTTAAAGACAGTAAATTTGACCTTGCTAACCGAAACGCTCCTCTTTGGCTAAATATTTACCTTTATATAAATCAAGCTCAATGAAATTAGACATGAATTTTTTTACGATAGCTAAGTTTATTAAAATTAACATATTTTAAAAGTCTTATATTCCGTTCTTTGCTAACTGGTGTCGAATATTGGCTTGAGAATTTGAAAGAACGAGCGACTGAAATTAAGGTGAAATAATTTTCACACATCCATCTAATAATAAATTAAAGATAATGTTTCAAATACTACAAGTTCATATAAATGGATGCACGGGTAGCTTTGTGGTTACTGGCGTGATAAGGGGAATTTGCATGTCGAGTTCAAATATCGGTGGTGTTTATTGCTTTCACTTTCGCAGAAATTCTGTTGGGAAAGGTATAAATCCATCACTCCTCCTACCAGCTATAGCTTAAACATCAGGGCAGACTTAACTCGTTAGGCTTTTCTGGCAACCAATCTAGGAAAATGAAATCTTATTTTATGTGCCGTGTCCCTTTAAAACGTAGGCGATCATAGTTCTCCACTTCCCCTATCTCTTGTAGTTTTCATTGAGTTTTATTCTTTCGATAATTCTCCCAGACTCTGTTCTGTCATCCACTTGCTTAAGCCCGCCAGGTACATCACGCGTCGCTTTCCCTTGTCTCTCTTTCTTTCTATTCGCTCTGTGAGTATCAGATTTTCTAAGCCTTTGTTTCTCATTACATGTCCCAGACATTTCAGCTGCCTCTTCCTGATGTTAAGTGTAAGTTTCTTCTTTGTTTGCATCCTCTCCAAAACCTCATCGTTGCTCATTTGTCCATGCCATGGTATCCTTAGCAACCTTCTGTAAAACCATACATCTCTTGCCTCGAGTCTCTTCTTCATCTTTGAGGAGACCGTCCAACATTCGCTGCCGCAAAGGAGGACAGATATCACGTATACTGAATTGAAAATCGCTTGAGCGTGGCAACTCCACCACCGTAAAAAATTAATTCCGAAACCACTGTAGCAGCATGTAGATTGAGGCTGTCACCTTAATAACCACATGCAATAAAGAAGTGGGTACGGAGGAGGGTAGAGACGATGGAGACGAGAACAGTATATAAATAAGCATTAATATTGGCAGATATTGGGGGAATGTGAAAAATAAAAACGTCTTTGATTTAAACTGAAAATCCGTTGTTTAATTGTGATGAGAATACTAATTAGTACTAATGATAATATCTATCTCCATCTCTCTCTCCCTCTCACCCATCTGTTTTGCTCTATGTGTTTCTCTTTCCTCCCTCTGTCTGTCTGTCTGTCTCTCTCTCTCTCTCTCTCTCTCTATATATATATATATATATATATATATATATATATATATATATATATATATAATGGTCAAATATATGTATATATATATATATATATATATATATATATATATATATATATATATAAATTCACAAGAGGCTAGAATCCAGGTAGAAGTCAATGTCCAGGACAGAGTAAGAAATAATATAAAAGGCTCAAACATAATATCCATGGTTATAGATTATTACATTGGAATCGTAATCAGATCAATTCATCAGACCTACAAAAGAAAGTTTCTTTTGAATTTGTAGGTCTGATGAATTGGATCATGATTACAATTTAAATAATAAATATAATAAATTATGTTTGATGGAATATATATATATATATATATATATATATATATATATATATATATATATATATTGTCATACAGGAAGAAATGAGTAACTACCGACACCGAGGTTCGAGGATGACGACACTCTGGACTCATAAATATATGTTTTCCGCCTGTTCTGTAAATAACTACTGGTTACTGACTGTAGTAATTATTGAGTGACTATTGACGGGAACTATCCAGTCAAATTAGTGCGATTTATTGGGCGTCTATGATTTGGGCTTTGATTTAAGATCAAACCCTAACCCTAACCCCGCGCTACTAACAAGGTATTCACTGAAACGGTTAATTATCTTTGGTTGAATTTTACTTTTTTCCCCTTGTTAAGTATTTATTTGCGGTTGTAATTAAATACTGTTTTATCATAACATTGAAATCTTGAGTTATACTTAATTATTAACGCCCACCGTACATCATTTATATAATATATATATATATATATATATATATATATATATATATATGGGGATGAATAGCTTCAGTTGTCCTTGCAAGGATTTTTGGAACTCTTTGTGTGTTCCAATAATGATTAGAATATTCGTCACATTGAGATTTTCTTCTAGAGCGCGGTGCTGCTATACAACCTGCTTTCCATTCTCTTTCAAGGTTCATTGCTTATACATCCACTCTGGGGATGCTATACAGCACATTACCTTTTTTTTTAATTTAAGTACCCCCCCCACACACACAAGGATTCCTTACATTCACTTGCACGCAAATATCCTTGAAAATGGTATGAATCTATCATTTCTCCTCCCATCTATGTGTTAAATATCAGGAGAAACTGGGTCGTATAGCCTTTGTTGGTAACCAGTCTAGCGCAGAAAGAAACGGCAACTTATTGTGGGAAAATCTGCCTAGTAAGTCATGAATCGAAAGACATGATTGTCCAAGTGGATAACATATATGGCAGTTAACTGACTGACTGACCCACACATACATATCTATGGTTGATGGCTTTGGTCTTAACCTTGTGCTAATTTGATACATTCACTGTAAATATGATTTACATTTTATCTTCGTTGAAATTTGGTCTGTTTGTGTTTTACATTTCTTTGTTTGATTAGATGTCTTCTCAGCTACTTTTACAAAAGATCCTAATCCATGCAGACTGGCATTTTCCACCAGTAAGCCCTGAAGACCTCGTGGTAACAAATCTTCTCACTGCTCCAGCACTTTCCTCTGTATTCTGTTCCCTTAATTATTTCGATTCTCTCTCGTATTTTCATTTCATCCAAACATTTCACTAGGTTTTTTTCACTGTCGTTCCTAGTGCTCCAATTGCGTTAATTATTACTGTTACCTTCATTTTTATTAATCATTATTATTCGCAAATTGAGACTGTACACCATTAGTAACCGGTGATTAAATCAAGCATTATATGACACTTATTAGGCGCAGCACTACTGTGATGGTAACTTCCCCACGCACACATGGACTCTGTCAGCTATAAATATGAGCAGGTACTGCCTTTTGGAGAGGGAAATTTCTAACGGTCAGCTATGACAGTCAGGCATTCATGCTGTAACACTGTCGATTGTATATGTTTCTATTACTGTTTCTGTTAATATATATTTTTAACTCAATTGCTCTCTTTGCGTTTTGATTTCTGGCCTCTAACAAAAACACAACAACCACCGAATCGGAAATATTCTTATTATTCTGTTGCTGTTGAATATTGACGCAACCAATGGAAATTCTGTTCTTGAGGAATGGTGTCAACAAGATTATTCTCAACTCAAGAACTTTTCAGAGAATCTTCGCAAAGTCAATAATGGCAGTTTTCTTGAGGTCTGCAATCTTGGTACCAATTCTAAATCTCCCAAAATACTCTAGCGAGTTGCTCGGCTGTTTTCCAAGCTCACCCATTAATACGGGAATTAGTCGTGTTTTATAACCTCTTCAGCTCCCTGGCCAGATCTTGGTATTTTTTTATCTTTTCATTTTCCTCTGAGCTCACACTTGTATCATATGAAACAGTAAAATCAATCATTTGAAACATTCTATTCTCCCCCTCTATAACAATAATGTCAGGTTTTCGCGCTTCAATGAAACAATATGTCTGGACTGTGAAATTCTATAACATCTAGTGTCTGTCACTTTATACAAC